GCCAAAAGGTTGTGGAAAAGTGTCCTCTGAGAAAGACAGCCATCTTACAGAGGATGTCACAATTAGGGATGGACACGAACTAGCTTTTGAAATAAAGTTCATCATGACTTTTGGCTGGTTAATTGTTTGTGATGTCCACAAACCAAAGAACTGCCATGAACTTCTATAAACTTTGGTGCAGTTCATGGCAGTTCATGAAGAGCAGAAAGCAGGGGTTTACCTCTGCTTTCTTCTCTTCAAGAAAAACAGCTGTTTGGTTTAAATGGCTCAGGGCCATTTAAACCCCTGCTTTCTGCTCTCTGTGGCTTTTTGGCTCTTTGGAAAGTTCCCTGTGAAAAGCCCCCGGGGGCAGAAAGCAGGAGTTTAAACTTTAAATGGCTCATGAACTGGTACAAACTGACACAAACTGACTCAGTTAATCAACCAGCATATTGGTTTGAGGTTCGGTTCAGCCACAGTTCATGCACATCCCTAGTCACATAAGAACATAAAAGAAGACATGTTGGATCAGGCCAATGGCCCATCCAGTCCAACACTTCGTGTCACACAGTGGCCAAAAACCAGGTACCATCAGAAGGTCCACCATGAATTGAAGTTTGAAGTTTGCTTTTGGGAGACACAGGCTGGAAACAGAAAGTTCAGTTTGACTACTGAAAAACAATAAGTGATTATATTGATTTTCTATCTATATCTGCTATGTCAGGGCAAACATATATGTGCAAGTAATTGATTTTATGATTATGAAGTGATTGATCTGTATATGTGAACTGGCACACAGATTCAAAGACTGAATTAAGAGTACTATTAGATTAAGGTGTGTGCTCCAAGAAAAATTTCATACCCAGGATTTGGGGGGGGGTGTTTACCATGATTGCTGATTTTTGTGTAGGACATTACCAGTTCAGGATTCAAATCCATCTGGTGTTGGAGGGTTCTTGAGTTTCAGGAACATTATTTTTATTTAGGGGAAATTTGAGGGTCTTGGGCAAGTTTTTTTGTTTGCTTTGTGTTAAGATAGAGGGACCAGGTTTGCACAGAACATAGCTGTTCATCTAGTCTAAATACCCCCTAAGTTTCAAACAAATAGAACAAAAGTGCTTGATTTTACAGACTCTCGAAATAGGTACCTCTTGGCACAGGAACACTGCTCTCCACTAATTCCTATTGGGAAAAATTCTACTGGTCACAAGCATGGGAAACAAAATAAAAATATTTGCATCCATTTTATTTCCTACTCTTATAGTGAGTGACTAGCAATATATATATTTTAAAAAACTTATCTACTGAAAACTCTGTGCTTGTCATCCTTCCTTATTGTGGTATGTAATTTGTTTCCCTTTGAAAACAAAAGGAAACAATATTCCCTATGGAGGACATTTTCAGGGGGCTACAGTGGCTGTTTTTCAATAAAATGACACCAGATTTTCAGGGGAGCTAGTGCTGCCTGTTCACCAAAGACTACTTAAATTTTAAGCAAGTTAGACCAAGGGTGAAGTTCTATTCGTTATCAAACAAGTAACCCAGGCATTTTTCTTATAGAGTAAAAAAGGATTCTGCCCCCACAAAGCAGGGAATGAAGAAGTGAGCCAAACCCACAGCTCTGCCAGCTCTGCTCCTGGCTTCTGCAAGCCAGGAGCTGCCTTACCTGGGCGACTGCCTGGAAAATTTGAAGAATCTAAGTAAAACAAGACTTTTGTTGGTGGTCATGGTAAGCACCCAACATGAAGAGCGACACCGTGTTTTTTTTTATTGGGGGGGCATTTTGTAATGCTTAAAAATCCAGTATTTGTAAAACTGTTCTGGGAAATCACAGTAATTATATCAATTGCCCCAGTCTGACTCCTATTTGAAACTTGATTTTGAGACATCGATATACCATAGATGAGTTCAGTACCAGAATTCAGGCCCATAGAATTTATTCCCCTCTGTATTTGGGACTGGCATATCCAAAATTTGGGATTATTCCCCTCTGTATTTGGGACTGGCATACCCAGCATATCTCCACTGCTTGACAGTTCCTAAATGCCAACGAGCCTTTATGTTGTCTTATTTTAATTCAATCCCAATGGTGGAATTTTCTGGCTGTTTTGGAAGGATTCCATTAGCTGATATACTTTGAAGCTATGACACAAGGAATCTTGATACCTTGCTCCATTGTTTATTGGATTGTCCAAAATTCTATAAGTATAGAACCACATTTGTCTCTCCCTTTTTAAAGGATCTGGTTTGCCTCCCAGCTCATTGTAAGTTACAGATTCTTTTGGCTGGAAGAGATCGTACTACCCCAAAAGTGCCAAATTATTTTCCTGTGCAATCAAATCTGATAGATCGATCTGGACAAATTTTTGCTGTAATCTTTGTGGTTGTTATAATTATTTGCTGTTATCATTATCATTTGTTGTTGTTTTGTTGCTGAATTGCTGATGCTCAAGATTGTAGTAATTAAGAGCAGAAAATAAAAGAAAAAGAAATCAAAGTAAAGACCCGGAATGGTATTTTTCATGAATATCTGTAGCTTGGGAATTCCAGCATGCACATCCCTAACTGGGTCACACAAAGGTCTGTCTAGTTTTGTTATCTTCTTTCTTTCTGGGGATGTGAATTCGCACCCCCAAAAATGGCCCATTCGGACCCCTTTCAGGCTGCTGCAGGCCGATTCAGATTTTCTGATCTGAATTGTCTTGCTGCCGAATTGCCACCGAATTTTGGTGGCAATTCGGCCCCATTGTATCCTATGGGCCATTGAAATCAATGGCAAAAACATAGGGTATATTCTGGGGGCTGGAGGGGAGGGGGTTTAAGGGAGAGGCTCCAAACTCACAGGGTAGCTGCTGGAGCCTCTCCCCAAAAAACCAACCAAGTTTGAAGAACATTGGATTAGGGGGTCCAATTCAAACAGGTTGCCCCTATCCCCTCCATTGTTCTCTATGGTGGAAAAAAGTAACCCCTCCCCTCCAGCCCCCAGAATATATGCTATATTTTCACCATTGACTTCAATGGCCCATAGGATATAATGGGGCTGAAATTGACATTCGGCTGGCCAAAAGACTCCTGAATCGGCTCCTACTGCCGAAATTGACATGCAGGAGTCTTTATGCTGGCAGAAATTGATTCTGCCCGATTCGGCTGAATCCGAATTGGGCCGAATTATATATTTTTTCACACCCCTGTTTCTCATTTTGGAGAACCACTGACGCCACTAGGAAGCTCACAAGAAGGATATGCAGGCAATGCCAAATGTCACACACAAACACTACTAATCCCAAAATAGCCTATGCATTCAAATGTTCTATGTTACTAGCATGGCTAATAGTTGCTGATAGACTTCTATCCCTGACCACTGAAGGGAGGTAGTGTAATGCAAAATTGGGGGTGGGGAGAATCCAGAATAAAAAGAAGGTTGAGCTCAATGTTCATGCAAAATTGGGGGGGGGGATCTGGATTTAAAAGAAGGTTGAGTTCGATTTGAGTGCAGAATTGCTTGGAGGACACTGTGGTGAACATGGATTAAAAGGAGAGTGCAGAAAGGGCCTATTTCATGATAACAATGGAACACAAAAGCCTAACAGCACTTAAATGGAAAGAAAATCTATTGATTCTTACTTTTACTGTACTTTATTCAGAGAAGTCTATTTAGAACATAAGGTCCTAAACACAATAACAATACATTTAAACATAAAAGAAAACAGCCAGACATAATTAGGAGCACTTAATTACATTGTTTGACAGTAGGGTTGTCAAGTCCCCCTGGCCACCAGCAAGGAATGGGGTAGGATTCCTGGAGATGTGGTGATGGAGCCTGGGGAGATCAGAGACCTCAGTGGGGTTCAATGCCATACAGACCACTCTCCAAATAATCCATTTCCTCCAGGGGAACTGACCTCTGTAGTATGGAGAAGAGCTAAAATTTGGGGGATTCCCCAGGTCCCATCTGGAGGCTGGCATCCCAATTTTACAGTCATATACATTCTGGGATCATTTCCCCACCAAAGTAGTCTAAAATGTTGGTTGTTATATATATGATCATGTGACTGCCAAGAACTAACACATTCTGTGTCCAAAGCAGAGCCAGACCTCACAAACCATCACAGCCGCACAGTTTGGTATGCAAATAGATCCATTGTTCACAACATGTTCAGTTCAGGTCAAACTACATGCAATATCAGGTATTGGGGGGTTGTTTTGTTGTAAAACACCTACTTATTGTTTAAAACCAAAACAACCATGCCAGATTTTATTACAAGCAACAGTTACAAGTATGTGTGGCCCAATAAGTGGGGGGAAATATTCCTAGCATGTACACCTTGGTCTGGTAAGGTGTATGCACACACACACACACACACACACATATCATCTGGCCCTAATCCTGTGCTTTACACAGCACTATGAGACACAGGAATTACTCAGGCAAAAGCTTTTCCCACTGTCCCTGAATTATTTCTAACAGCATCTAAAGCATACTACAATCATAAACTTCTAAAATCAAAAACAGGCTCACAGTAAAAAGAAAACAACCTAATTTAAAAAAGGAATTAGAGAAAGCTTGATTCCTTGTGTCAAAATGATGTCATATGTCTATACACATCTGTGTAGCTGTGAACGTCTGTGCGATTGTAATGAAAAAAGGACAGGATACACTTTTGTAGATAGCATTGCTGTACTTACTGTGATCTCAATATATTCTCTTGGAATAGAACACTTTCCCCTAATAAGGGTTTAATGGATTGTTTTGTCAAATAAACCAATCAAAATATGAATGTACATGGTTTATAAAATTCAACTCTTTCTAATCATATATTCCAGGCATTTTTCACATTGTTGTTGCACAAGATATAGATAATGGGATTTAACATTGGGTGGGGGTTACAGTATTTCCACCTGGAATAGAACCCTTTCCCCTAGAAAGGGTTTAATGAATAATTTTGCCAAAGAAACCAATCCACACTTAATAAAACCAGATTAAAGCAAATCCAAATATGAATGTACATGGTTTACAAAATTCAACTCTTCCCAATCATGTTTTTCGAGGCATTTTTCACATCTTTGTTGCGCAAGGTATAGATAATGGGATTTAACAATGGGGTCAAGACACTGTATATCACTGGAATGAGCTTGGCATGATTGGAGGGATGACTACTATTAGAAGTCAAATAGGTGAAGATGGAACTGCCATAGTATAAAAGAACCACAGTGATGTGAGAGGAGCAGGTGGAGAATGCTTTTTGTCTCCCTTCTGATGACTGTATCTTCAAGACAGTTGAAATGATGTAAGTATATGATAAAAGTATGCAAACTAAGGGGGTCCAAGCTATGAATAGGCCTATGGACAACAACAGAACTTGGTTGAGGGAAGTATCTCCGCATGATAGCTTCAGCAGTGGTGGGATGTCACAGTAGAAAGCATCAATGTGGTTGTCCCCACAAAAAGGTAGCTGGAAGGCAAATGTGGTATGCACCACAGAGTTGAGGAAACCACCAGCCCAGCAGGCTGTGGCTAGCTGGAGACAAATATCTTTGCCAATAAGCAGTGTGTAGCGTAAAGGGTTGCATATGGCAACATAGCGGTCAAAGGCCATGACTGCCAGAAGAAGACATTCTGTACCCACAAAGGAGAAGAAAAAATAAACTTGAAGTACACAGCCCATGTAAGGAATAGTGTTCCTTTCAGACAGAAGGTGAGCCAACATCTGGGGGATTGTGGTAGAGGTGTAGCAGATGTCAAGAAAGGAGAGATTGCCAAGGAAGAAATACATAGGGGTTCTCAGTTTCTGGTCTACAATTGCCAAGGTAATGATGAAGGCATTCCACAGCATGGTGCATAGATAAGTGATGAAGAATCCGATGAAGAGCAAGAGATGCACTTTCTTGAGATTTTTAAACCCCAGTATGATGAATTCCTTCAAGTCAGTTTCATTTTGTGCCTCCATATCTTGACCACAGCAAGATGTGAATGTCTATAGGGAATAGTGAAATGAATGGCAATAAATCCAAACGTTACAGTACTGGAGTTTACAATATAAAAGGCATGGGACAACAGATGGATATGTCTGAAGTGATTTTCTTTTAGAGGAAGCAATTATAATTCTATCTTATGCATAAAGGTTGCCTGTAGAATCAATGTATTTTTTAAAACATTTCTATCTGTCCTGCTCTACCATTTTCTACCATGGGAATGGAACAGCATTCCATGCATTGTCAGCTTTTAGGAATTCATAACTATATGAAAGATTCTGCTACTATGAAGTAAAACTGGGGAGGAATTGATTTCTTTTATTCCAGTCTTTTATTGTCTTGCCCTATGGGCCTTCTCTCCTGAATTCTAGCTTAAACAAGAGTATTTCCAAAATAACCTTAAAAAAATAGATCATGCACAATTTGCCACAGTTTTCCATTCCTTTGGGTCATCCCCCGCCCCCAAGGGAGTTAAAAGCATTTGGGAGAGATGGAATTTTAAATGGAAAAGTTGAAAACAGTGAAAAAGTTAAGAAAACCTCTCCCATCTTTCATGCTGGTATTCCACTTCTCTTTACAACGTAAGTGACCACATTGCATAAAACATAATCAGAAAGAGTTACAGGACTGAGTCCTTAGTCACATAAGGGTGTGGCTATAAATGTTATCCTAGGGGAGGGAACAACAGCAATATCTGAGACAAATCAAGGTTGGCGGGTTCTAGGGTCCCCAACTTTTGCTGGGGAAATTCCAAGATATTTGGGGGACAGAACCTGGAGAAGGCAGGTTTAGGGAAGGGATGAAGCTGAGCAAGGTATAGTGCCTTAGAGTCCAGTCTCCAAAGCAGTCAAAGCAGGATCTTTGACTTGTGTCATCTGGATATCAATTGTAATTCCAGGAGATCTCCAGGCTCCACCTTTTTCAGGATCAGTGGCAAGTCTCTTAAATCAGTTGTGCTGCACACATTTTAAAAGCTCCATGTAGTTTCAACAACATGTGAGGCTCAACTAATTTAAGATGGCATTGTTCTTGATTTGGAATAATTATAGTAAAGATGTACAAAACCCCTTATCAATCTAAGTAAGCTGCATGATGTTCTGGTCCTCTGAACTTCTCCACCAAACCAACCTCAAAATTTGCTTTTGTCAAATTTAGCTTTTTTATTGTTATTATTCCAGGAGGATTTGTTGGTTTACAGTCTAGTAGTTCTTGCTTATGTATGCATACCTATGATATTTAATTTGCAAAACCAATAAAAATTATTTTTAAAAAAATAATAATAAAAATAATTCTTGAATATGTTCCTCACATTTCTACATGAAGACTGCAGGAAACAGTCTTTTCCCATAGGAACCTGCCTATCCACTCTGGTCATCTTTGGATGCCTTGCTTCATGTGGCCCTGCTGTCAGAGGCTACATGGGTCATAACCTGAGAAAGGGCTTTCTTGTCCATGGCCAAAACTCTGGAACTCCCTTCCCAGGGAGATTCATCTGTCTCCCTTTGTCATTGTTTTCCACTTGCAGGTGAACATTCCACCAAGAACTCAGGGTGTCACATTCTGTACCAACTGTAGGTTTGGTGTAGTGATTAGGAGTGTGGACTTTAATCTGGGAGAACTGGGTTTGATTCCCCACGCCTCCACATGCAGCTGCTGGTCAGTCACAAGTAATTTCAGAGCTATTCTCTCAAGAGCAGTTCGCAAAGAGCTCTCTCAGCCCCACCTACCTCACAGGCTGTCTGTTGTGGGGAGGGGAAGGGAAAGGAGATTTGTAAGCTACTCTGAGACTCCTTCAGGTAGTGAGGGGCAGGGTATAATTCCAATCTCTTCTTTCTTCTATTATTGGCAGTCTTCCCTGGCTGTGTTGTGTTTGTATGTTTTCTAAATGTTCTTATCACATAGTTAAATATTTTACATACACATTTTAAATGCTGTTTTATTGTTTTAATTTTTCAGCGTTTTTTAATGTTTGTCACCTTGGGGTCCATATTTGGGAGAAAAGGAGCCAAAGAAATATTTTTTAAAAAATAATAAATAAACATTAATGCAGGTTATTAGCAAAGCTGAGTTATGTGTGTCATCTGTTCCTTACCAGCATCAGACAAGGTGTGCATGGCTGATGAAGAAATTCTCTGTCCAGTGAATATAGCAGCTGGCTTCAAAACTGTTGCCAAAGTTTACCCACTGCAACATATGAAAGCAAATTTGGAGCAAGGAACATACCACCAAGGAATCTCAGGGGAAGAAGGATG